GGGGCTACTCTTCTTTTTTGTCGATCTCAATTACATCTTTCCTCTCCTCTATGACTGAACAAGCAAGGGATTGAGCAACTAGCGCGAAAGCCGTTGCGCGTTAGCGCATCCGTTTTCTTGCTGCTTCGTTTGTTGAGTCTCACTTTGCTCTCCTCATTCCACTCGTCCTGAAAACTTCACGAACTTGTACAATCGATGCCACAAAGATAGCCAACTCTATTATCAAAGAAATAAGGAAAGGGGCGAGAATTTGGCACCAGATATCCGGAGGTGTGGAAAGAGCAGCTGTGAGAAGCGGAAAAACCATCAAAAAACGACGATTGTTCGTGGAAGTTTCTACAGAAAGACCCCTTGGTTCTAGCAAACGGATCACAATTACAGGTACCTGGGAGCATACCGATGGAATGAACGAAATACGAACAGTTAACATAATATGGTCATAGATCTTAGGTTGTAACTTGATCATGAGCGAATTTGTTGATGTTTCACCCATGAAGTATGGAAAGTGCCAAACATTGGGAACTACCCGGGGAAGAGTTAGGAACAGGAACAAGGAGAAGCGAGAACCACTTAAATGGAGGAATCGATTGTATTTCCTCCTTTGTTCCCCATAGCAACTGGGGATCAAAAAGGACCAAATTTGATGACTTATTAGGGGAAAAACGAAGTAAGAACATGCTATTGAAGACGTTGCAACATATGTCGGGAAGGCCTCCGTTGATTGTGTACGAACAAAATACGAGTCAAAAGGCAAGGTAAGAAAGGGTTTAGCTAATGGAGATATTAACTCTTCCGGGAACCAGTAACGCGTAAACCATGTCAAACCAAGACCAATCAATATCCGAACGGAACGGATTCGAACTTCTCCTAGAATAGTTTCCGGTGCGAAATGAAATTCATAGGATATATATGAGAAATTCAAAGGAAAAATAGAACTACGACCAGCCATCATATTAGTATATAAAGGTATTCCTTCCAGCAAGAAAACGGATGCGCGTTAGCGCAACGGCTTTCGCGCTAGTTGCTCAATCCGTTGCTTGTTCACTTCGCTTTGCTTCGTTTGTTTGGTAGAACCCATAATAATTCAGCCTGCCCCGAGTATTTGTTTGATATAGGACGAGTTTGAGCCAGCCCTTCGTAGATCCTGGGCAAGGCCATGTAAAAAGGCCATTTCCTTTTGGTCTCTCACTAATACATCGCCCCCCTCTTCGTCAAGTTCTTCTCTCATCTCATTGAGAAAGTCCCGAAAACATTCTAGGGGGTTGTATGGGGCCTGGTCGGCCAAGGCCGGAGTTTGAGCTAGCACGCGGTTAAAAAGATGGAAAGACTCGTGCTTCCGCTCCCGGATCAGGAGGTCTCTGTTCTCACACTCAAGCAACTGGCTATACTCCCTCTGAGAGGAAGCGTGGTCCAGCTCTTGTTTGATGTGAGCCCAGTATTCTCCCTTTGCCTTATCCAGCAGATAAGGTCAATTATATCGAGCCTGCTCGAGTCGTGCAATGCGATTTCGCATTGAGGACTCCAAGCTAGCATTTTCGACAACAGATCCTTGATGGGACGGCCCCGCTTCATCGGCCGCCACCCTCGGGATCGAAGAACGAGCCGACGTGCCCCCCATCTCTGTATCGGAAAAGGGCTCCATTAAGACCCCAATCTCGAATGAATCCTCCGTGCTCTCCGACTGGCCTCCCCAGTCCTCTCTTTGGGCGAATAAAGGCCCCTGGCCACTTTCTTCCGTGGTTGGTGCTACAGAAAATGCTATTGTCCCGGTTCTCACAATATTACGTAGATGAGTATTGGCCGGGACAACCAGTCTAGTGTCTACTTCTATTGTAGGTAATTCGTTGAATACTTCCACTTCGACGGATGCATTCTGGGGTAGCCTTTCTTGCGCCGCGTTTAAAAAAGGTTCTACGGCCTGGATAAGTTCATTTAACATGTTAGTGGCTTTTCAAGTATATCTAGAATAAGCACTGTGAACTATCGCCTTCAAAAAGATAGCTGAACCTCCTTCTCCGCTTACCAGAAAAATGACACCTTTCGCGTCTTTGACTGAACTTCGCTTCGTTCACTACTATGGAAGTTTTATCACCACTTCCAATACCCACTACGCGGTAAGCTTTCAAGCCGTAGCTTGCTGGTTTTTCCATCATCCAATCCACAACAAATCGAATGAAACCTGGCTGTCAACCCCAACCCCAGGCCCCCCTTGTTCTAAAAGACGGATGGCGCTAATGAAGAACTCACTTGTAACCCCATAAGTCGCAAGGTCTTGCACCGTATCGATTAAGATATTGAAGTTATTGAGATTTTCGTCTTCCAACACGTGTGCTGTTAATTCCTTTATGGGCCAATTGGGGTGGGGGAAATTTTGTTTGTCTAAAAAAGCTTTGGTCATGGTATCAACAGCGTTTTTTGTCGAAAGAATGGAACAAACTTTTCGAAGCAGCAATCAAACTACTGCGCTAACGCGCATCCGTTTTCTTGCTGGAGAGGATTTGAATCAGATTTAGTCAATTGGGGGTTAGTATGAGCGGTTGTCCGTTCTTTGCCTCTAGCTTCTGCTCCCAATGCTCTTGGCCATCTAAAATCATTCTCTCTATTGGACTTTGGTTAGGCTTGGTGTTGCTACCAAAGCCCTATTCTATTACTTGATATCGTCCTATTCGTAGCTACTTCCTCATTCTATGAATCCGCATCGGCGTGAACAGAGACAAAGGAAAGGGCCGAAAAGGATGGTGTTTGGCCCAGGATCTCACTATCACCTATGCATGTGCGAGAATGCGATACGATATGGTAGAGGCCGATGTGTCATTGGGACACTTAGCGTGGTAGACCGAGAAAGAGTGCTGTTACCACTCATACGACGGAAATGCCATGATGCTTTGTTGTGGCAATTGAAGTGGAACTTCAAGGGGATGTGATGTCTGGTGTGGCGAACCATCATTACTACTGCAGGAGAGAGCTGCAATGAGACTCGCTGCGGAAGTCGAGTTATAAGACGACCGCGTCCTGTTGCGTTCACGGGCGAAAACACAGGACTCAAGCTTCGTAGTTGCCGTACTGGCCTGATACTATCGGTAGACTGATGAAGTCACAAAGGCAGAATTGGAAAAAGTCGGATACCTCATAAGAAAGGGCTTTGGCATGAGTTAGGGGGAG